AGTCAAAAAAATCCACAGGGCACGGCATGTCACCTACAGAGGAGGCCATGCTGACTAAACGTCAACGAGGACCCCTACGACTTCAACAGCCTCAGGCATGGCCGGCATGACGCACCAGTGATCAAGTACCAATTGCCATTCCCGACACTGTGCTGCTACAGGAATATGCCACAGTACTGGATCTTCCTTCCTCGCTAAGGCTCCACGTGTAGCTCTCTCATGTACTCCTGGCTCCCTCTTTGTGGCTGTAAAAGGAAGCAGCCAGGGCCGTTTCTATAGATCAAAAAACCACGCCAGCCCTCACGCAAAAACGCACCCACTCAATTCACGCGCGCTCCCACGCTGCCTGAGAGCAACGACTCAAGCAGCCCGCACCATTCCACGCCGAGACCTGGGACTAGCTCCCTCTCTCACCCAGCTTGTAACCCCCTACTACAAGCACTTCGGTGCAAAGAATACAAGATCGATCTCCTAGACTGGACGTAGGCACCGATTGTCTGAACCAGTATAAGCCTTGTGTCTCTTTGCATCACCATCCGGGATTAGGGGACGTAGTTCGCATTTACTGGTTGGTTGAGGACCTCCCGGTCCGAAACGCCGACAGTTGGCGCGCCAGGTAGGGGGATCTGCGTGTTAGCGTGATCATCCCAACAAGTTCCGGATGGCAGACCCTATATGACCATTACATCTCGGCACGATGATCTGGTTCGGGAGCCTAGAGTTCATGTCTCTAGATACAAGTACGACATGGTACTCCTCCCACCTAGAGCCCCGTCAACCGACGGCGACATCACGCACCAGCAGCCCAGGAGCGGGCGGCGCCCGAGCCGCCGCTCTCGTCACGCTCGCCAGGCGCAACACGGGTAGGACCACCTCGACACCGCGCGAGCTCATGGTGGCGCACCGCGTTCTGCCGGCACCCCATGTCCAGCTATTGGCACAAGGTCCCTGGTTGGGGACCTGACTTGCCTGAGCCTGGACATGGGTGAAACGCCGACGGCATACGGCGACGCCCCGTCGGTATCCCATGCCCGGCTGTTGGTACAGGGTCCCTGGTTGGGGATCTGTCTAGCTTAAGCCTGGGCAGGGGAAAGACGCCGGTGGCACGGGGGCGACGTCCTGCCATCAAGCTCTGCCCCACCACCTCCTGAGGAGCCGATTTCTTTCATCACCCCATTCGACATGCACTGCTATGTGACTATGCCATTCAGTCTCAGAAATGCAGGGGCCACATACCAGCAGTGCACCACCCAGGTCTTGGGCGAGCACATCGGGCGAACCGTCAAGGCTGGCGTGGACGACATCAAGGACAAGTCCAGGAAGGCCAGTGACCACATCGACGACTTGGAAGTTGGTGGCCCGCCCAGGTACTAAATCACGGGACCTACAAGCTAGCCTACGAGAAGGGCGAAATCCTCACCAACACTTGGAACATAGAACAGATACGTCGCTTCTACCCTTAAATTCCCAAGCATCATACAATTTTCCTCGAAATACAATAAAGAAGCGTTCTTTAATTGTTTTAAATTTTTGAAGAACCCCCCAAGCCCATCGGTAAGGGTTCAGCGTTACGATAACGCTGGGGGGAAGACTCGACTCTGCCTCTGCAGAACCGAGCCTCCCTCGGGAGCTAGGAGGGAACCTCTCCCCCAAATCCCAAACTCTGCCTCGAACTCTGACAAATCAATTGCAAAAACCTAAGGACCGAAAGTTCGCCTCGAGGACAAAATGCCGGCCGAGCCGCGAGACAGCCTACGCCTCTGGGGTACGGCAACTCCCTCACCACCTTTCGCCCGAGGGGCAGCTTAGGCTCCAAGGAAGTTTTTGCAAAAGACTTGTCTAAAAATGAGATAGGGGGACACCGTTTTTAGTCGTCTTTTCGAAAAATTTCCTATGTCGAACTCTCTCGCGTACTCTGACAAATCAATTGTAAAAAACCTAAGGACCAAAAGTATGCCTCGAGGCCAAAAGGCCGGCCGAGCCACGAGACTGCCTACGCCTCTGGGCTACGGCAACTCCCTCACCACCTTTTGCGGGAGGGCGGCTTGGGCTCGAGGAAGTTTTTGCAAGTGATATGTTCGAAACAGAGCAGAAGAGCAAGGGCTGGGAAACATAATAGAAAAGCGATTAAGATGCATATATACACAAGCATTTGAAAAAGGCCTCGACGGCCACAAATGTTATGGTACAATGATTACGTCCTAATCTATCACATGACCCCTTTGGCCCGTGTCGAATATGGGGGTCGCCAAATACGACGGACGGACGGCGAGGAGGAGCCACCTCCCTCTTGAGCAGTCGGGCCGGCGCCATGCAGGGGAACTCCCGATCGCCCTCTCGCTCCGTCTGCAGGAGAGGCTTGGGGCTCTCTTCTTGCAAACTTGCCGGGGACCCAACGACCCGCACTCGCACTCAGGGGCCCGGCAAACGCAATAAACTCCTCGCTCAACAGGAACAAAGCCCCTGGAGGAGTAAATCCACTCCTCCAGGGCCTCGGGGGCTACACCCGGCGGGTGCGCTCGCGCGCACCCACCGGAACCACGAGAACAAAACACAATCCCGACGGGAGCAGCTGCAAGCCAAGTCTCGACAAACCCTCAGGGAGAGTGCTCGCACTCCCCCCGAGGCTCGGGGGCTATTGTCGGATACCATAAAAAGGGGTACCCTAAGCAAGAGCCGAAAAGATTGCTTAGACCTTACAAACATCAAAACCGATGGACGACCACGGGGCCTCGGCCGATTCTCCAATTAGCCCCGCTGAGGCCCTCCCGCCGAGGCCCTCTCGTCGGGGCCCTCTCGCCGAGGCCGATTCTCCGATTCGCCCCGCCGAGGCCCTCTCGCCGAGGCCGATTCTCCGATTCTCCCCACCGAGGCCCTCTCACCGAGGCAGTCCCTCTGGCAGGTTGTCCCATCCATTTAATGTGCCTGAATGCATCCGCTACGTCAGCCACGACTGGCAGGGTACAGCAACAGGAGCGATGGGACAACGGTCAAATCTCCTTTTTACCATCCCTTACTGACGGTGCAGGGGTTGCCATGCCCTGCGGACACACGTCCCGCACTTTTCCACCTAAACCGGGTACGACGCTGACCGCCGAGGCCCCCGCCTCATACACAGGTCACCTCCAAGGCCTCGGCAAATCAGGCCTCGGCACGGTTAGCTACAACCTGCCAGGCCTCGGCACCCCACCAAGTCAAAAAATCCACAAGGCACGGCATGTCACCTACAGAGGAGGCCATGCTGACTAAACGTCAACGAGGACCCCACGACTTCTTGACCCTCGGGCATGGCGGCATGACGCACCAAATGATCAAGTACCAATTGTCATTCCCGACTTTGTCTTTGCTATAGGAATATGCCACAAGATCTGGATCTTCCTTCCTCGCTAAGGCTCCACGTGTAGCTCTCTCATGTACTCTGGCTCCCCTCTTGTGGCTATAAAAAAAGCGGCCAGGGCCGTTTCTATAGATCAAAAAACGCCATGACCCTCACGCAAAAAACGCACTCACTCAATTCACATGCGCTCCCACATTTTGCACGAGAGCAACGACTCAAGCAGCCCGCACCATTCCACGCCGAGACCTGGGACTAGCTCCATCTCTCACCCAGCTTGTAACCCCCTACTACAAGCACTTCGGTGCAAAGAATACAAGATCGATCTCCTAGACTGGACGTAGGGCACCGATTACTGAACCAATATAAGCCTTGTGTCTCTTTGCATCACCATTCGGGATTAGGGGACGCAGTTCGCATTTACTGGTTGGTTGAGGACCCCCCGGTCAGAAACGCCGACACGTATATACGCATAACTTTTACAAAGTTAGACGTATAACTTATTACGTGACAAAATTATACCTAAAATTTGGTATAAGTCCTATATACAGATAAATATAGGACTTATACATATAACTTTTATGTGTATAAGTCCTATATTTTTAAAGCACGTAATAAGTTATACATAAAATTTTGTCACGTAATAAGTTATATGTATAATTTTGTCACGTAATAAGTTAAATGTATAAGTTATGTGCGTAACTTTGTCACGTTGAAGTCATGTGTATAAGTTAGATAGGCATGTGTATAAGTTAGATGTATAAATTATACGTAAAAGTTATGCGTCTAACTTTGTAACTTTTTTTTTTTTTCTAAAAATAAATAACTTTCCAAAAAAGAAAGTTATGATTTTTTTTTGCCAAAAATAAAAAGTTGTGGGATGTTTGAAATCGTTCGCTTGATTCTGTTTGCGTGAACGTTCGCCAACTTAGTGGCGTCGCGGTCCGACGCACGTGGTGGGAGTGGGATCGATCGCTCAATCCCCGAATGGGCGACCGCTCAAATGGAATTGGGAAATACATACCATGTATTTTTTTTTCTTGTAGTGACATACATCACATCTGCAATTTGATATGGAGGCAAGCAAATTTTTTTAGAATTTCCTCTGAATTATGTGGACAGCTAGAACGACTTGTTTAATTAATAAGATTCTCGTCCCATATATAGCTGCAAACATCATATTTGATGAGTAATTGATTGGTCCATTCGAACCTGCATCTATTTCTCGTCGTACCTTTTCGAATCTAATTTTTTTCGCGATCGGGTTTGTACACACTTTTTTCGAATCCAATTATCTCGCTCTCCATATGCAAACTTTTTTCCCCGCTCTACACTATTAATTCTACGAAACCAGGTCCTTTCCTTTAGCAACTCTAGGACATGTCCTATACCCCTCCATGAGGGTGTCATGCATATACGTACGCAAGAAAAACAGCATCGGGCTAGATCACCATCATCATTTGGATAATATTAGTAAATTGATTTAAGTTTGTAGCATCAATGGTGATGCGCATTGCCGGTCTCACCGGTCGCCACGGTTTGATATCAATTCTAAGTACCTCCCTGGCTCCTGGCTCCATATATATATATATATACGTCCATGTGCAGTCGGGTCGAGCAGAACGATAGCAAATACTCTGCAGTGGACAGATAGGGAGTGATCACCATGCCAGGGCTCATGACGATCATGTCACTGGCACTATCGCCGCCCATGTCGGTGAAGCAATGCTTCTGCAGCAGCACAAGCAGCAAGAAGATGACGGGTAGTACGATGTTGCTGGTGAAGAAGCGGTCTTCTTCGCAAGCACAACTCCTCAGCCGCAGCTGGGCTCCGGCAGCGACGGCGGCGGCCACCGCAGCCGCAACTGCCTTTCATGTCGATGAGCAGGAAGAGATGATGATGCGGCGCCTGGCGGAGGACGGGTGGGTGGACGAGCATATGCTGCCGCTGCTCACCCCCGTGGAGGAGGCCTGGCAGCCGGCCGACCTGCTGCCCTCCTTCGCCGTCTCGGCCGACGAGCAGCGGAGCCAGGTGGCGGAGCTCCAGGCCCGCGCGGCCGGCGTGCCCGACGACCTCCTCGTCTGCCTCGTGGGCAACATGGTCACGGAGGAGGGCCTGCCGGCCTACATGTGCATGGGCAACCGCGTGGCGGCGGGCGGCAGCGACGCCACCGGCTGCGACGACCACGGCTGGGCGCGCTGGCTGCGCGGCTGGACCGCCGAGGAGAACCGCCACGGCGACCTGCTCAACCGCTACCTCTACCTGTGCGGCCGCGTGGACATGCGGCGGGTGGAGACGACGGTGCACCACCTCCTCGGCCGCGGCATGCGCGCCATGCTGCGGCCCTCCAGCGCGTACCACAGCCTCATCTACGGCTCCTTCCAGGAGCGCGCCACCTTTGTCTCCCACGCCCGCACCGCCAGGCAGTCCGGCCTCCACGGCGACGCCTGCCTCGCCAAGCTCTGCGGCGTCATCGCGGCCGACGAGAGGCGCCACGAGGCCGCCTACACAAGGGCCTCCGCCAGGGCTTTCGAGGATGATCCGGACGGCATGGTGCGGGCGCTCGCCGCCGTGATGCGCGCCAAGGTCACCATGCCCGGCGAGCTCATGGACGACGGCCGCGACGAGCGCCTCTTCGATCACTTCTCGGCGGTTGCGCAGCGCTCGGGGGTGTACACGGCGGCGGACTACGCCGACATGGTGGAGCACTTCGTGCGCAGGTGGAAGGTGGCGGAGCTCGGCGCTGGCCTGTCCGGCGAGGGGCGCCGCGCGCAGGACTACGTGTGCGGGCTGCCGCGTAAGATACGCAGGATGGAGGAGCTGGCTCACGACCGTGCGGTCCAAATGGGGGCCCAGTCCGTATGCTTCAGTTGGGTGTTCGATAGGCCAGTCCGCATCCACTGATCAAGCTATCCTCTTCCAAAGTGAGGTTGGAGGCCCATTCGTCCCTCGTCAAATGAAAAAGGCCCAACTACTTCAACTTTTTTTATTTTCCCTAAATAAAAAACTTCTCGCTGCTTCTAAGCATTAGAGTAGAGTAACAATCAACCACAATAAATATATCCTAGTAAAAGTACTCCTGGGCTCCTGGCTGCATTTGTATTCTGTTTACCACTGCTACATATCTGAAATGTTGTTTCTCATATAAATATATATGTGCATTGTTTATAATCCTAAATATTTCCTTTGCTGAATGGAACTTACAAGGATTGCTACTCTACATAAGAAATTGTTATCAACATCCGTTGATTCTTCGATTTCATTAATTCAATATTATTGGTTGAAACATACCAATAGAATTTCATTCAGTACTTACAATACGTCACTGAACTTTGCCTTCACCCAACTAGAGCATAAAACTGTAATATGAATTCTGAACTGATGCAAATGTAGACAAGCACACGCAAATTGACTGCAAAGGCAGGCCCGATCGATCGTATTCTGTTTTACTTTTGACTATAGCTCGGTAGTCTGTTTGCCAATGAATTGGGAGAAAAAAAGATTAATGCGAATTGGGAGGAATTAAATTTGAGCCCATGAAACTATGCTCCGTTTGGATGACTGGAATTAAATTGGGTAGTTGACATGGTATTGAAATGCCGCAATCGAATACTATTGTTTGGATAACCATTGAATGCTAATGATGCAAAAGAATGGAATTGAAATGTTGAGCCATGGCAGGGGAGCTCAACTCAGTAGCCATGGGGAGCTTGGAGGCGGGGGCCCATGGGGGAAGAAAAAGTCGGCGCTGTCTAGGGGAAGAGGAAGCAGAAGGAAGAGAGCTCCCGGGCATGGGGAAGAGGAAGACTGGCAAAAACCATCAAATACGGAGGGTGGCTCTAAATTAGTTATAGTTCAATACCAAGGAATTGGGTCTTCAATGCCAAATCTCAATTCCATGTGCATCCAAACAACAATATTGAGGAAACCTGATTCCAATTCCAATATCTGGGCTTCAATATCTACATCCAAACACTACCTAAGAGAATAGTGTACCCAAAACCATCAAATAGTGAAATTAACTACTATTCCCTCCGTTCCAAATTATAAATCATTTTGACTTCTTTAATATATAGCAAAACCGATGTACCAAAAAAGTCAAAACAACTTATAATTTAGAATGGAGTGTTTAAACAAATTTTGTAAGGTTAGCTGGGACCATGTCCCACCTTGGCCATAAATAAGCTCCTGCTGCACATGTGCTGCCATGCATGGCATCTAAATATCTGATATCCTTTTAGAGGGTGATCACACAGGATAAACCCCACAAATTCACCTCTATTGAGAATAGCAAGGCAGATAGAGAACCAGATTCTCACCAAAGCACCACACCCCTCCAGGATTACGTCTAGCAACCACATGTAAAATAGGATTGGGCACAAATAGCTCATATCCATGGTACAATGGTAGCTTATTTGTAGATCATGTATACGGTAGTAAGACCAGGGCATGAAAAACAAACCCAAAAACTCAAACCCACTAACCTTCCATACTAATAGCTCATGTTCACCAGGTCATGTACCATTTGACTTGCTGGCACATCAGGTCATCGGCCATGCACAAGCATAATGCCCAGACGGCCAGACAACAAAGAAGGCAGCCACTCCTGGTAGTGGCAAGACAAGATAAGCAAGATGAAATGGCGTCATGAGTAGAATTCCCTCAGCAACCAGACACCATATAAACAGCTAAAACATGCGAGCACGTAAAACAAAAGTCCATGGTATCACTAGCCTTCATCCATAGCAGTGAGAGGGGGTCCAGTCAGGAAAGATGATATGATAAATTTAAATAAGAAAGCAAAGCACCAACCAACAGGAACCGAAGGGGGCAAAACATTGAAAAACTGAAATGAAATTGTGCCACCCTGAATGCATAAATAAATGCAGCACTATACTGAGATTGAAGGGAGTATGAAGACTAGAAATAGGAAATTTTTATTATTTCCAATTGAAACTGAGATTCTCACCCCAAAAAAATAAAGAGAAGAAACAATGATCTTTGATTTTTTCTGCCCACTTTCATACTTACAGTACAAGGTAAAATTGACTGATGGAAGCATATTCAATCTCCCATGCACTACGATTTATTCCAGGTAGAAATCTCATTTCTTGCTTAGGTCCATAGTGAAGGGATTAGCATTTATAAATCATGAAAATTATTGATAAAAAATAATTGGGTTACTAAGTTGCTTCTCTATTTCACACTCCATAGAAGTCACAACAAACAACTAAATTCATCACTAGCAGCATTGTACTTTGCCACTTTGTATATATATTTTTTTTGAACTGATCAGCATCACTTTGTATATCAATAGGGCAACTTCCTGAGTATTACCATATCGAAAAATGGAAACAAGACTACAAGTCATGTAAATAAGCACAGATCTCCCCACTTAGATGCAATCTGATACCTCAAGGTAACAAAGAAACAAGGAGTATGATATAAAGCAGCTTCAATTCATAGGGATAGTATGTCAAATACAAGATGCAAGTGGTATCAGGACATGAAAGCAAGCACATACTGGATAGCATGCATTTTAACTTTGCTAGTAGTAATATTGAAGAAAGAAATTAAAAATGCAACCATGGGTTTTCATATATTATCTATATAAGAGCTACCACCAAAAGGATAGTGCCCAGATAGTCTGATATTAATATCCAAAGGGCTCTGACTCGACTGTTGACTGACAACTATAGTAGCTTGATGTAGGCCTCATGATATGGCTGAGCTGCTTCATTGTCAGACGTAGTCAACATTATCTTGATTGACCAAAGCTTCTTTGAGAAGCGAAAGGTCCGCTTCTGGTGCACCCGGGTGTGGTGCAAAATGAGTAAGGGTCTTCACATCTATCTTGGCGGATGCGAAGGGTAAGAAAGCTAGCCGAGCCAACTAGGATCCGTTTAGGTAGCTGGAATGTAGGTGAAAGTGCAATCAAGCCTTAATTATGGGTTTTGGTGATAATGACCACGCAATTAGAGAACTAATGAGATTTATCGAGATGAAAAGCAGGGAATTTATATTTGAGGATGCTACACGAAATGGAGGAGCCCCTAATTATAAATGTAGATGGCTTCAAACTCAAAGGAGGTTTAAATTCTTTTATATATTGAATTTGAGTATAGGAAAAGCCGTACTATAAAGGGGGGCACAATGCTTAAGCTAATATGTGCTACCAAGTGCTCAAACAACCACATGCATCCTCAGATTCACAGCCAAGATAGTCTACACTTCACTATTACCCTTGCTGTCTTGCGTGGTGCGAGCTCCAACTCGCCCGACCCCTTGGGTGCGAGCTCCGACTCGCCCGACCCCTTGGGCGCGGGTTCCGGTTCCCCCGACCCTTTGGTCGAGGCCTTGTCTCACCCGACCCCAAGGTCGCGGGCTTCGGCTCGCCCGACACTTTGGTCGCGGGCTCTGGCTCGCCCGACCCTTTGGTCGCGGCCTCATCTCGCCCAACCTCTTGGGTGCAGTGTCCGTTGAGGGCAGGGGGTATATATACCTTTTCCTATCCTTACCAACGGCTATCTGCGATTTAAAGTGACCGTTGGGGGCTAGGGGTATATATACCTTTCCCCTTCCTCCTCAACGATAACAAAACAAAAAACCTGCTCTCTTCTTCCTCACTTCAGCACGCCCAAAACAGAGCAGGAGCTCTCTCTCTCTCTCACTCCATTGTTGACCTTAAGCCCCCAAGCAAATCCATTGATTTCCCCATCAATCCTTGAGGGATAAGGGTCCAAAACTCGATTAGAGAGCATCTCTATTGATTCTCAAACTCTAAAAAGCACTTGGTTCATATTTTAGGTGGCGGTTGTGTTTGTTACTCTTGGAGCTTGGCTCCTAGCCGGCTAGAGCGTCGCCCGTGGAGCTTGCCAACTTGTGTGGCAGCCCCGGGAAGTTTGTAACCATCTTTTAAAGCTAGTAAACTCATTCCTCATCTCAAGAGTTAAGTCTCTTGACTTGAGAACGAGGAAGGGCTGGAAAGCTCTAAGCCTTAGTGGCTAACCTCAACAACGTGGAGGTAAGCAATCCTTGGCGGCGAGTCAAACCACGAGATAAATCATTGTGTCACTTGTGCTTGATTTACATTACTTGCATGACATATTGTTGATTGAGGTAATTTCTAGAGTTTGAGGCTGATCTACTTGTGTGTGGTGCTCCCACCACTTTCAGCTGTCAATCTGTGATCTACTACCCTGCATGAAGCTAAGAAATTTACCCAATCTAAATTTCATTGGATAAATTTTGAACTATGAATTAATCTCTCCTGCAAGTGCGGTAGTGCCGCGCTCACAGAGCGGCAGTGCCGCGGGTGAATTTGACTTCGGTTTGAGTTGAATTTTTACAGGCCTATTCACCTCCCTCTAGGCGTTCTAGAGATCCTACAGTAGGGTCCCTTATGGGTAAGTTAAGAGAGTTAGTGGACACAGTGGTTAGGAGGCGTGTAAATATCTTGTGCGTCCAAGAGACTAAATGGAAGGGGCAGAAGGCGAAGGAGTTGGATAATACCGGCTTCAAGCTCTGGTACATAGGGACAATTTCAAATAAAAATAGAGTAGGAGTTTTGATTGATAAGAGCCTCAAGGATGGTGTGATGGAGGTGAGAAGGCAAGGGGATAGGATCATCTTAGTTAAACTTGTCATTAGTGATATGATCTTAAAAGTAATTAGTGCGTATGCCCCGCAAGTAGGCCATGATGAGAGTGCTAAGCGGCTTTTCTGGGAAGACTTAGATCGCTTGGTTAGAGCTGTCCCTAGTAGCGAGAAGCTCTTTATAGGAGGTGATCTTAATGGCCATGTAGGTACATCAAGTGTAGGTTTCGAGGCGGTTCATGGGGGTTTCGGATATGGTAGTAGGAATCAGGAAGGAGAGGAAGTCTTAGACTTCACCATAGCTTTTG